CCGGGCTCGGAATTGCTCTGGTGAATCCAGGCTGGAAAATTGGATCCAGAGCTTGGATCCAGCTCCTTCCCTGGATTGGGAAAATGGGATATGGGGAAGGAATTCCTGGCTGGGATGGAATTCCCAGAGCAGCTGTGGCTGCCCCTGGATCCCTGGAATGTCCAAGGAAAGCTTGGACGGGGTTCGGAGAATCTGGGATGGTGGAAAATCCCTGCCCGTGGAATGGGATGGGAATGGGATCATCCTTAAATTCCTAAACAATTCTGGAATTCTGAATGCGCACTGAGCATTTCCAGACCAGGTTCTGAGATTTCAGGGAACATTTCAACATCCCTTTCAATCCCTGGAATCCACTTTTCCCTGGAATTTTAAATCCCTGGAATCTCCCTTTCCCTGGAATCCAACTGTGGAATTTTAATTACCTGGAGCCCCTTTTTCCCTGGAATTTTAAATCCCTGGAATCCCCTTTTCCCTGGAATACAGCCCCGGAATTTCAATTCCCTGGAACCCCTTTTCCCCTGGAATTTTAACTCCCTGGAACCCCCTTTTCCCCTGGAATTTTAAATCCCTGGAATCCTCTTTTCCCTGGAATTTCAAGCCCTGGAATTTTAATTCCCTGGAATCCCCTTTTCCCTGGAATCCAACTGTGGAATTTTAATTTCCTGGAGCCCCTTTTTCCCTGGAATTTTAACTCCCTGGAACCCCCTTTTCCCTGGAATCCAACTGTGGAATTTTAATTTCCTGGAGCCCCTTTTTCCCTGGAATTTTAACTCCCTGGAACCCCCTTTTCCCTGGAATCCAACTGTGGAATTTTAATTTCCTGGAGCCCCTTTTTCCCTGGAATTTTAACTCCCTGGAACCCCCTTTTCCCTGGAATCCAACTGTGGAATTTTAATTTCCTGGAGCCCCTTTTTCCCTGGAATTTTAACTCCCTGGAACCCCCTTTTCCCTGGAATCCAACTGTGGAATTTTAATTTCCTGGAGCCCCTTTTTCCCTGGAATTTTAACTCCCTGGAACCCCCTTTTCCCTGGAATCCAACTGTGGAATTTTAATTTCCTGGAGCCCCTTTTTCCCTGGAATTTTAACTCCCTGGAACCCCCTTTTCCCTGGAATCCAACTGTGGAATTTTAATTTCCTGGAGCCCCTTTTTCCCTGGAATTTTAACTCCCTGGAACCCCCTTTTCCCTGGAATCCAACTGTGGAATTTTAATTTCCTGGAGCCCCTTTTTCCCTGGAATTTTAACTCCCTGGAACCCCCTTTTCCCTGGAATCCAACTGTGGAATTTTAATTTCCTGGAGCCCCTTTTTCCCTGGAATTTTAACTCCCTGGAACCCCCTTTTCCCTGGAATCCAACTGTGGAATTTTAATTTCCTGGAGCCCCTTTTTCCCTGGAATTTTAACTCCCTGGAACCCCCTTTTCCCTGGAATCCAACTGTGGAATTTTAATTTCCTGGAGCCCCTTTTTCCCTGGAATTTTAACTCCCTGGAACCCCCTTTTCCCTGGAATCCAACTGTGGAATTTTAATTTCCTGGAGCCCCTTTTTCCCTGGAATTTTAACTCCCTGGAACCCCCTTTTCCCTGGAATCCAACTGTGGAATTTTAATTTCCTGGAGCCCCTTTTTCCCTGGAATTTTAACTCCCTGGAACCCCCTTTTCCCTGGAATCCAACTGTGGAATTTTAATTTCCTGGAGCCCCTTTTTCCCTGGAATTTTAACTCCCTGGAACCCCCTTTTCCCTGGAATCCAACTGTGGAATTTTAATTTCCTGGAGCCCCTTTTTCCCTGGAATTTTAACTCCCTGGAACCCCCTTTTCCCTGGAATCCAACTGTGGAATTTTAATTTCCTGGAGCCCCTTTTTCCCTGGAATTTTAACTCCCTGGAACCCCCTTTTCCCTGGAATCCAACTGTGGAATTTTAATTTCCTGGAGCCCCTTTTTCCCTGGAATTTTAACTCCCTGGAACCCCCTTTTCCCTGGAATCCAACTGTGGAATTTTAATTTCCTGGAGCCCCTTTTTCCCTGGAATTTTAACTCCCTGGAACCCCCTTTTCCCTGGAATCCAACTGTGGAATTTTAATTTCCTGGAGCCCCTTTTTCCCTGGAATTTTAACTCCCTGGAACCCCCTTTTCCCTGGAATCCAACTGTGGAATTTTAATTTCCTGGAGCCCCTTTTTCCCTGGAATTTTAACTCCCTGGAACCCCCTTTTCCCTGGAATCCAACTGTGGAATTTTAATTTCCTGGAGCCCCTTTTTCCCTGGAATTTTAACTCCCTGGAACCCCCTTTTCCCTGGAATCCAACTGTGGAATTTTAATTTCCTGGAGCCCCTTTTTCCCTGGAATTTTAACTCCCTGGAACCCCCTTTTCCCTGGAATCCAACTGTGGAATTTTAATTTCCTGGAGCCCCTTTTTCCCTGGAATTTTAACTCCCTGGAACCCCCTTTTCCCTGGAATCCAACTGTGGAATTTTAATTTCCTGGAGCCCCTTTTTCCCTGGAATTTTAACTCCCTGGAACCCCCTTTTCCCTGGAATCCAACTGTGGAATTTTAATTTCCTGGAGCCCCTTTTTCCCTGGAATTTTAACTCCCTGGAACCCCCTTTTCCCTGGAATCCAACTGTGGAATTTTAATTTCCTGGAGCCCCTTTTTCCCTGGAATTTTAACTCCCTGGAACCCCCTTTTCCCTGGAATCCAACTGTGGAATTTTAATTTCCTGGAGCCCCTTTTTCCCTGGAATTTTAACTCCCTGGAACCCCCTTTTCCCTGGAATCCAACTGTGGAATTTTAATTTCCTGGAGCCCCTTTTTCCCTGGAATTTTAACTCCCTGGAACCCCCTTTTCCCTGGAATCCAACTGTGGAATTTTAATTTCCTGGAGCCCCTTTTTCCCTGGAATTTTAACTCCCTGGAACCCCCTTTTCCCTGGAATCCAACTGTGGAATTTTAATTTCCTGGAGCCCCTTTTTCCCTGGAATTTTAAATCCCTGGAATCTGCCTTTCCCTGGAATCCAACTGTGGAATTTTAATTACCTGGAGCCCCTTTTTCCCTGGAATTTTAAATCCCTGGAATCCCCTTTTCCCTGGAATACAGCCCCGGAATTTCAATTCCCTGGAACCCCTTTTCCCCTGGAATTTTAAATCCCTGGAACCCCCTTTTTCCCTGGAATTTTAAATCCCTGGAACCCCCTTTTTCCCTGGAATTTTAAATCCCTGGAACCCCTTTTCCCCTGGAATTTTAACTCCCTGGAACCCCCTTATTCCCTGGAATTTTAAATCCCTGGAATCCCCTTTTCCCTGGAATCCAACCGTGGAATTTTAATTTCCTGGAGCCCCTTTTTCCCTGGAATTTTAAAACCATGGCACCCCCTTTTTCCCTGGAATTTTAAATCCCTGGAACCCCCTTTTCCCTGGAATTTTAAACCCCTGGAATTCCCTTTTTCCCAGGAATTCCGAGCCCTGGAATTCACTTACTCACAGATTCCGTAGCCGCTCTTGCTGCCCTGCTGCCAGTGGCACTTGTAGCAGTCGTAGCGATCCTCGGAGCGCCGCGGGACCAGGTGGATCCCAAACCTGCTGGGAATATACGGGAACGCTCAGCGGGAAATTCCAGCAGGGAAAATTCCAGCAGGGAAAAATTCCAGCATGGAAAAGGTCAGGATGGAAAAGGTCATCAGGGAAAATTCCAGCAGGGAAAAATTCCAGTGTGGAGAATTCCAGCAGGGGAAATTCCAGCTGGGAAAATTCCAGCAGGGAAAATTCCAGGATGGAAAAGGTCAGGATGGAAAATTCCAGCAGGGAAAACAACAGAAAGGGAAAGTCAAACATGGAAAATTCCAGCATGGAAAATTCCAGCATGGAAAATTCCAGCATGGAAAATTCCAGCAGGGAAAATTCCAGCGGGGAAAACGACGACTCCATGGAAGGGGAAGAAATTAAAAAAACAATTAGAATTTTGTGGGATAAAAGAAATAATTTAAATTACTATAATTAATAAATATAATATTTCTATTAAATTAATTGATTGTTATAAATCAATAAAAATTTAATATAAATAAAATAATCGATATTTATTCCAAAATTTAAATATAATAAATATTAACAATAATAATATAATTAATAAGAATTATAAATTGTTAAAAACTATAATAAATAATAAATTATTAAAAATAATAAATTATTATAAATAATAAATT